TAGGCAATGAATATTTTGTCAGGATTTCTATTTTGTTTTGTAACTTTAACTCTATGCTGTTTCAAATATTCCCAGGTTTTATCTGTAATCAGATTGCTTTTACTCCCCGAATCTATCAACATTTTAACGTTTACCCCCCCCTATTACACAAGTTATAGTTTCCTCTTGGTCTATGTGAAAAACATAGTCTATGTCATTGTTATCGTGAGATTCGTTCTGTATAGCATGAACTCCAGATGTTTTTTTAGTTTTAAAAGATTTTTTGAAATGGGAGTTCCTTTCTTCAGAATTTCGTTTGCCAGCTTTGAATTTAAAATCCCGTGTTTTACAAAACGATGCAAAATGTCCAGGTATGTTGCATTTATTGCATGTTTGCTGTCTAGCGGGACATTTCGCATCTTTAGAAAAATGATTGGTACTGCCGCACCTAGTACAAATGTCCTTATACCTATTTCTCACCCTATGATTTATTGCATTAATGGATTTGTAACTTGTTGATATCGACGGAGTCGCTTCTAGCTGGTGGAATCCTCCCAACTCTCGGTTTACAGTCTCTAGGGATGTGGCTTCGTTGATCACTTGTTGTAGAGTGATTGAGTCGCCTGCAGCTAGGATTTTTTTCCGAAGCTCGATTGAAGCTCCTTTCTCTACAATTTGGTCTATGAGGTTTTCTTCAATGTTGCTAAACCCACACTTTTCTGCTTGTGTTCGCAGCCTTAGTAGGAATTTACTAAACCCTTCATTTTCCTCCTGTTTCATGAGTCTGAAAACATGTCTCTCATACACTTTACTGTGTTTTGGAGAGAAGTACTCATCGAGCTTTGAAATGGCCACGCTGTATACATCTGAGTCATTTTCCTCAAGAACGTTGGCACCCGGTATATTATAAAATATTTCTTGTAAGCCTAGGCCACCTAAATGTAGCAAATTGGCCCGCTTTTTTGAAGACTGCTCAATCCCGGCTGCCTCAATATAGATAGAGAATGCCCTCTTCCATTTTTCCCAGCGCAGGCCTACAGATCGCACGTCTCCTTCGACATCAAACTGCGACAAGTTTGATGAATTTGGATTCATTTCTAAAAGCCAATTTAAGATAATTAGGTAATTGCCTAACTGCCTCGCTAAATACATTTTATTATTATAAAACCTTTTAATATATCGTTAGATAATATTAAATTTAAGGTATATAACTTTTTTCTTTACACGAATGTGTATTTGAGCGTGTGCTCAGGCCTATGGCCCCTAATCAATTTGAACTTTTAGTTCAGGTCTGTGACCCATATCTTAGACAATTTGTCTATTTAAGCTACTGCTTAGGCCCATGGCCTTTAACTAGTAATCTTTTGGACTTTTAGTCCAGGTCTGTGACCTATATCTTAGACGATTCGTCTATTTAAGCTTGTGCTTAGGCCTATGGCCTTCAACTATAGTTATTTTTCGGACTTTTAGTCCAGGTCTGTGACCTATCGCGTTACGCGATTTGCCTATATTTAGGACTTAACTCATGGCTACGTCGCCTTAAATTTAGAATAGAGTTAATGAAGTATATCGAATTAAATAATATTCAAACACCTATATATCCACCTTTGAATAATGATTATATAATATTTAATTTAAAGGCAAATTTGTAGGTATTTATTCTATTAAAAGGTTTATTGTTTATAATAATTCAAATGTGATTTGTGTTTTTTTTTGTTTTTTTTTGTTTTTTTTTTTTTTTTTTGTCATATATTACACCATCTTCTAAATTAATTGGTACTTACTGCTCTAAATCACCAGCAACCACAAAATAAAGTCACAAGTTATGTTTATCCTCGTCGCCAATGTACTATTCCGAACTTAAAGACTCTTTGAAATAAAACACAGAAATTATTTAGTTCGCCTTACTTCCAAGCGTCTCCGTAATCGACTGACTCAACCCTTTCTTTGTCGTTGTCAGTTGTTTACATTGAGCGCTCATCTTTATTAATCATCATGTATACTACAGTTATTTATTATACAAGACGGTAAAATGATGCTTTACCTGTGAGTGGATAATGTTGATTTCACGAACAGGTAAAGCTTTTTTATTTGCAATCATATATGTAATCTTGACATTACTGGTTCTTTAAAAATTTGGAAGTGTCACTTTACTTGTGTCACTTCCCTCTTCGATTTCCCTCACCGATTTCCCTATTCGACTTCCCTCACCGATTTCCCTCACTGTAATTTATTTACCTTTGCTGGCAACAATGAGAACATGTCAGGTATAAAAACGTCAAAACAGTGAATGACAAATGTTGGCATGTTTGTTTTATTTTTTTAATATTAAAAAAATTGAATGACTAATCATAATTAATGGTGTGCTTGCAAATAAAATAGTATGCAAACCTCAAAGGAAAGTTTTCATTTCTGTCTCGAGATTAATAGTCAATCTCGACGCTCCAGTAATGAAACACTTCCCTATTCGGTATGTAATATACTATTACCGTCGTGTGCAATACTCTATTTTATTCTTGAGCAACTTTTTATTTATTACAATTACTAAAATTATACATATTTACCTACATTATGACAAGTTGACAAAGTAATAAACTGACACATTTCTGATGTTGTCAATCATGCAACATAACAGATTTCTGTCAAAAACACTATAATTATTATAAATGTTTGAACAAGTGGGTAAAATTGACGTATGAGTGGGTAAAGTTGACATATGAGTGGGAAAATTGACATGTAAGTGGGAAAATTGACATGTAAGTGGGTAAAAATTGTTCGATTTCACTATCTATATACAGGTCTGGCAAGCGAACATCTTACAGGCCAATTTCAATGCAATAGAATGAAATGTATAGGAAAAGTCTAAGGGTAAATAGAGATCGAACACGATTTCCCCTGTTCCACCTCCAATAAGACGAAGGCCGACGGCGGAGTCGAAGAAGACTAGCCGGTGTTGCCGTTCCATAGAATGTTTATGCACCATGCATGATTATGGATAGTAATGCATCGTGAATTATTTTTATCATGTAACGTTGATCTGGTGGTTATTGAAATCAATATTTTGACAGATATGAATGAAATTCTTAAAATAATATCTACATTTTTAGAACTTTTTGTTTTAAAAAAAAAAGTTATGCACTTAGCAAAAAAAAAAGAAATTTGTAAAAAATATTATTTAGTATTTCAACATAAGAATGCCTAGAAATAATTTATTATTATTCCGGCAAGATAACATTTCTTTGCGATAAAGAAAGAACATGATTTCGTTTTTAATAATTGGAAGCATGGCAACTCTGCCCGTCGCCCTTCCACGGCGCGCATCGCGGACTCGGTCTTGCTGCGCTGGCTGCTCGGCGGCTCGCTTATTCTAAGATAGCCTTTTGCGGACGAAATATTAAATAGATATTTTTTAAAAAAATGTATTCGCGTGAACAGAAAATTAATATAATTCTATGGTATTCCATTCTATGGTATAATGTTTTGCATTATGTAATTTATCACGATTTTATTTTGATATTATTTATAAGTTTATTTTTGTTGTTTTTTTATCACGAGGACGGGTTAGTTTGAACTAAAATAACACACTACAAAGTCTGGTACATATTACGATACATTTGGCAACGTTGCAACGAGGAATTGTTTTGTTCCCACAGTATTCCCCTCTCTCAAGAAAGCGTTCTCTTGAGTCGTTGAGCCGGTGGAAGGGGAATCTGCTGGAGCCCGCTTTTTCTCCGTCCTTATTTCACTAAAGCCTTTGCCTATCAAATTGACATCTCTTTCTATAGCACTGGAAATCTCCGCATGTAAGAAGCTGGCTTGCCAACCGTGTATATAAACGTGAAATTCACTCACTCACTGACTGACTGATTAAACACGAAATCTCGAAAACTACTAAACCAATCGAGATGAAATTTTGCAAACAGGTAGGTAATAGGTTGGAGATGCTCACTAAGAAATAATATCAACATGGCCTCAAGCAATCGCCTTAAATAACCAAAAATAAGAAACGGTGTGGTGCGGGGAAAAAAGTGTAAACAGAAACAGACAGCGATTCGGAACCGATTCTGGGGTCGTATTTTCGAATATTCTCGCATACGAAATTTGATACGATTTCGAATGCTCCCCATTTAATTTACATTGCTGTCAGTCAAATTTCGTGTACGAAGTGTACTCGAATGAATTCGAAAATACGACCCCTGAACAAATTCCACCGGTCTCAGGATAAGCTAACTTCAAGTTTGAGACATGACATTCGTAATTCGTTCACGTATTCGACAGTCTGGAGCAATGTTCTGGAGTTTTTGTTCGGTTCCAAAACCGTTCGCGATAAAATAGGAACCTGAACCCATTCACAAGTTGGGTTCGGGTTGCTCACTCCGAGTTACTCCGATCGCACTCCAGCCGTTATCTGATAAGCTAAAAGGTAATACTCGAACGGCTGAAGTGCGAACGGAATCACTCGGAGTGCACGGAGTGAGCAAGCCGAACCCAGCTATAACTGGGCATGCGCTCTACGATAGTCCTCAATTAGTTCCGGACTGGTTCGGAATCGATTCAAAATAGGATCCGCGAACAAAGCTATTAGCAGCGAATGGCACTTCAAAAAAATTTAACGTCAGCTGTCAAAAAAATGTTGAGAGCTGTCATGCGACCGGAAATGGTTGCCATAGGGTTGTTCCGCCTGCTTACTAATACAAGCTACAACCACTTAACCCGGTGCATAGCAAATAATAGAAATTTTCCAGCGATTTTGCAGGTTCCCGACGATTTGAATGCAAATATATCTAACAGTTTCGAAGATTATCATTACTTCAGCGGATGTGTACAAGATACCCATTTCATTAAAAGGAGAATTGTGAATATTTAACTTTTTTTTTGGTTGTTACTATATGGCAAGTCATTTCAATTTTTTTTTCGTTTGCTAGGCTTAGTTTTGACAAACTGAAGCTCAGTCAAGATCGTTGGGTCAAGATGACGACTGAGGAAATTGTAACCGTCATCTCCGAAGGATTGGACGTTCAATGGCAGCCCAAATTCGAGCCGATATCGTACGTCATGTATCAAACAATTGGAAAATGTTGAAATGCTATACAATGGACAGGGCTGGCGTGCCTTATGATTCGAAGCGACTTTACATTGCTGACATGAGCCTGCCGCATATTTATGGCACTACGTGTGAGATCATGGCAGCTGGAGAAATATTTCCTTACGAATTTCAACTGTTTCAAAATGGAATTGTCGTTGGTAGGTTTGGTGAGGCCTTGGAAGGAGTTAAAAAAATTCGCTTCAATGGGAATTTCAATGAAGGACACTTTGATGTGTTGATTCCAATGGTTGAGGTGACTTATACGACAACTGTGAACGCCGAACTAGAAAATATAGTCATCGAGCCTGAAGCAGAAAGTGCTCTCGAAAATGATAAGGTTTTTACAACTGAATCTCAAGTTGACGTTGGTTCAGATATTTCTCAAGAAAATGCTGATGTGCCTTATGGCAAAAGAAAGCGCAGAAAGAGATTTACGCACAATTTGAGAAAAAGACAAGTAAAGCTGGCTGTTAGAAACTACAATGAAAAGCACCCTGAAAGCCATCGCGCCGCGGTGAGCAAGTACACTAAAGCTCACCCTGAGATACATAGAGCCGCGGTCCATGAATACACGAAACAACACCCTGAAATACATAGAGCAGCGGTCCATAAATACACGAAACAACACTCCGAGATCAATAGAGCCGCGGTTCGTAAATACGGAAAAAAACATCCTGAAATAAATAGAGCTGCAGTGAGTAAGTCCGCCAAAAATAACCCCCAAGTCAATGAACAGGCAGTAGGCAATTATAATAAAAAAGCATGGAAAGATAAACTTATGTCTGGCTGTAATTACGACCCTAATACCGACTACCGAAATGACAAATCGGTTGAACTCGGACCGCGTAAGACATGTGAATTCTGTAATGCTTATAAATGGCAAGAAGATCCGAATGGTATGTGTTGTAGCAGTGGAAAAGTGCAGCTTCCAGTCATTGAACCCTATCCAGAGCCATTGAAAAGTCTCCTTACCCGGCATCATCCCATGTCTGAACACTTTCTTTCTTCAGTGCGCCAGTATAACGGATGCTTCCAGATGACGTCTTTCGGAGCCAAGGAAATAAAGGAAGGTAATTATATGCCCCCATTCAAAGTTCAGGGACAAGTGTATCATCGAATCGGGAGCCTTCTGCCTGACCCTCAACAAAACCCTGCTTTTCTACAAATTTATTTTGTATGCGATGATGATAGAGAGTGTGATCTTAGGTGTGGAATCTTCAACGGTCTTAAACCTGAATTGGTGTTTCAGCTACAAAAAATGCTTCACAAAATCAACAAATACATAATTGATTTTAAGGCCGCTATAGACTCAGTACCTGTAGGGCAAACAGACTTTAAGGTAATCATAAGCGCCAACAAAATGCCTATTGGAGAGCACCCTGGTCGATTCAATGTTCCAGTATCAAAGGAAGTAGCTGTGCTCATAGTCGGACAGCATTTTGAAAAACGAGACATTGTCATTCATGGAAGAGACAACAGATTACTGCGCATAAGCGAGACACACCATGCCTACGATGCTCTTCAATATCCTTTGATTTTCTGTCGTGGTGAAGATGCCTACCAAATAAATATACCCCAATGTGACCCAAAAACTAAACAATATCTTAAAAAGACTGTTTCCGCTGCTGATTTTTATAGTTACAGGCTAATGGAGCGAAATGATGAGGAAAACTACATAATACTATTTCGTAGCCTTTTGAACCAATTTTTAGTTGATACGTATGCGAAAATAGAGACTGAGCGGCTTAATTATGTTCGCAATAACCAAAAGAAACTAAGGAGTGAGGAGTATGTTCATTTAAAAGATGATATTGCAAGAACCGACGGTCGTACTTCTGAGTTAGGGTAAAATGGTAGTCCTGCCGTCTTCATTCACAGGAGGACCTCGATACATGCACGAGCGCACTCAAGATGCGATGACATATGTGCGCCAATATGGACGTCCAGATTTATTTATCACATTTACCTGTAATCCGAAATGGCCTGATATCACGCAGTACCTAAAAGAAGGGCAGAAATCTCACGATAGAAATGATTTAGTGGCAAGAATTTTTCACATAAAAGTTAAACAACTGATGAAATTGCTTACAAAAGGGAACATTTTTGGGCCCACTAAATGTCACATGTATTCAGTGGAGTGGCAAAAGAGAGGTCTCCCTCACATTCATATCCTCCTGTGGCTCAATGAGAAGTTAAGACCGGAATCAATCGATGACGTAATAAGAGCGGAAATTCCTGATCCAAATGTAGACCCGGCTCTTTATGAAATCGTAACAACCACAATGATCCATGGCCCTTGCGGAACTCTTAATAGAAAATCACCTTGCATGGTAGATGGTTTTTGTACAAAAAAATTTCCTCGCCCATTATTGACAGAAACGCAAACAGGAGATGTTAAACGGTTATGAGATTGATAATCGGTGGGTTGTACCTTACAATCCCGTCCTGTCTCGCACCTTTGCAGCCCATATAAACGTTGAGTACTGTAATTCTGTGAAATCTATTAAATACGTCTGCAAGTATGTGAATAAGGGATCCGATCAAGCAACATTTACTGTTCAAAATTTAGATGAAGTGGCAAGGTACGAAACAGGACGATATATAAGCAGCTCAGAAGCCGCATGGCGCATTTTTTGTTTTCCAATTCATGAACGGTATCCTCCTGTTGTTCATCTCGCAGTACATCTGGAAAATGGACAGAGGTTGTATTTTACAGACACTAAATTACTTGATAAAGTAAGTAATCCCTCCAAAACCACACTCCTGGCATTTTTTGATTTGTGTCAAGTGGACGCTTATGCAAACACTCTTCTGTATCATGAGGTTCCTGCTTATTATACTTTGAAAACACAGAAGAAAACAAGGACAACCGGTACCTGGCTATCCTGGGGTAAAAAAAGATCACGTACTAGGTAGAGTGTACACCATTCAACCTGTGAGCAATGGCGAGTGCTATTACCTGCGCTTGCTATTGCACAAAGTTCGAGGACCCACATCGTTTGATGATCTTAAAACTATATGCGGAGTATTGCATCCAACTTTTCAAGCGGCATGTAGAGCACTTGGATTATTAGAGGATGACGCACATTGGGACCGCTCTCTAGAAGAAGCTGCGATATGTCGATCTCCCAGAATGATACGTGAACTGTTTGCAATCCTAATAGTTTTCTGTCAACTCTCTGATCCTAACATTCTATGGGAAAAACACCGCGACAGCTTATCAGAGGAGATTAAAAGGCACTCAGAAAAATCATGTGATGATATTACATTGATTTGAGAAAATATTTATAATCAGTGTCTCATACTTATGGAAGAGATTGTTATATTACTGTGTGGAAAAACTCTTTCACAATGTGGCTTAGCTTCACCAACACGAGTTCAAGATTCTATAATTAATAATAGACAATACCTAGCAGAATTATCATATGATACCTATCAACTTAATGAAATGGTCGTGGAAAACAGAACAAAACTAAATATGGATCAAAGAAAAGTTTATGACAAAATAATGGAACCTGTTACATCAGAATCTGGTGATTTGTTCTTTCTCGACGCTCCACGTGGTACTGGTAAAACATTTTTGATAAATTTATTGCTGGCTACTGTAAGAGGTGGCAAAAATATAGCGATTGCAGTCGCTTCTTCAGGCATTGCTGCTACATTGATTGACGGAGGTAAAACAGCTCACTCGGCCTTTAAACTGCTTCTTAATCTGAATTTTTGTGAAGTCCCATTATGTGACATACCGAAGCAAAGTGATATGGCAGAAGTATTGCGGAAAGCCAAACTTATTGTATGGAACGAGTGTACGATGGCCCACAAAAGGAGTGTTGAGGCTCTAGACAGAACACTACAAGATATAAGAAATAACTACAGACTTATGGGGGGATTAACTGGCCTATTTTCGCCAGACTTTGCCGGTAGTGCCACGTGGGACGCGTGCTGACGAAGTTACAGCCTGCCTAAAATCTTCAGTATTATGGCCTAAAATCAAAGTGATGTCATTAAGATTAAACATGCGAGTTCATTTGAAACAAAACACAGAAGCGGAAGCATTTTCAAAAATATTACTGGACATAGGTGATGGAATTTTTCCTGAAGCAGATGGTAAAATTGACATTCCAAACAATCTCGCTCAAGTTGTGAAGGATCTAATTAGTCTCACGGACAAAATATATCCTAATATTCATGATATTGAGAGAAATACTGGAATTTGGCTTAAAGAAAGGGCAATCCTTTGCCGTAGAAATGATACAGCTAATAGTATCAATTCTTATATTGTAACAGGCCAAAATTGCATAAATGATTCTTACCTACTTTCAATTTTATATTCAAGATTTCCTTAAATTTGTCAACATTTTCTCTATAAAATTTCATCAATAATCTCAACGGTTGTAGATCCTGTAAATTTTCTAATTTTCCATAGTCAAATTCTATTTGCTGTAATGGTTTTTTTCCTCATTTTGATCCGTATTTTGATTCAATTCTAAATCAAAACAAGGCAATGTTTTGATTACTATTTTAAATTCGATCATCTGTTTCATCCAAAAATAATTAATTCATCTGTCAAAAGTATGTCGTGTTCCGTAATCGTGATGTACCGTTTTCAGGTGGATGTACCGAGCTACTCCGTTCGTACTAACTGGTCCGGTTGTGGAGCGCTATCGATCTCGGCGCAAATTCGAGCGAACCCAGAGTTGCGCATTGGTTCGATGTTCTTTGAGACATCTGGAACGCACCCTGTGATTTCGTTTCTTTGACTTTTGATTGTCAAAAATTTCTGTCAACCAGCGGTGAAGTAGTGATGTTTTCAGTATCGTCGATTCTTCCTTGAGCTCTCTAATTTTGAAAACGGAACACTTACTATATTTTGTATTCTTCAAGTTTTGATTGTTTTATGGGATAATTATTGGTTGTTGATATCATTATTCATCAGCCGTTGTTATTTTTCTCAGTTTATATTGTTGTGTGCAATTTTTGGTAAGTGGGAATTCTGTCGATTGGTTGTTGTTGTTTGTCGTTGTTCTCGATCATCTCTAAGTCTGAATTCCTTCCTTTGGGTTAGGTTAGTTTATTAATTGAATGTGGAGCACATTTTCTTTCACATCTGGACGTTGGAGAATTAGGGTCTTTATGAAGATTGCCTTCGCCTTTTTGGGATTTCGACCCTAAATTCTCATTTGAAGTTATAACATTTTAGTTGCCTTAATGCCTTACGTTTTCGTAGTGTTATAATTTTCGCCGATTTATTCGGATTTTTACAACTCCATGTGTGGTAAGCTGCTTACACGTTTTTTTTTTCCTATAGTAGATTCTGACTTTTTCAATTTAATTTAGTTGAAAGCTGCCCTAAGGAGTAGAGAATTCTCACTCTCTCTAGGAAATCCAATCCTCGATCCAGATTTCCGGAGATTTTCGAGGCCGACACCCTAATTCCATCAGGTAAAAAAAAAAAAACATAACCTTATAACAATTTTTGCAAACTCAAGACACATTTTTCTCAATTGCTATCAAAGCTTTATTATGATTCAATCTGATTTAATTAATTAATACCTTAATGTTCAATTTTTCTATTAAAATAATTTTCAAGAGCTATAGTCTTTTATCAAGTAAATTTGCTATTAGAAACTAATCATTATAGTTTCATTTTTTTTTTATTGATTCAATTTATTCATGAAGTGCTTCGCTATTGGTTCAATTACATACAGTGTGTATAACAATCTTTTCTCTTAGGGTTCTTTCACGAGGGTTTTTCTTTCACGAGGGATCTTTCACGAGGTTTTCTTATGAGGTTGTACTTTACCATCAAGTATACCTTCACGGTTATAACAATAGACGTTCAATTGTAACCGAAATTGAACCAAAAGGCTAACAGACACCAGCCTAAGTAATCGGACGGTTACTCAAGTCATCGATCAAGTTAACCACAACCAGTAGCCAGGACTAATCTGGTGAACTGAATGAACCACCATCATCTGGAAAATTTTGGTATCGTACTAGTTTTAGTTATCCTGATTGTTATTGTTTATTTACATTCTGTCCCTATTTGTACACCCGGTGATCACCTCGGTATTTCAGGGAATAATTCATTGCTGGCCCCAGTGTGGTAAATGAATTATTAAAATAGGTAACTTAACTAGACGTAACCTGTTGAATTAATGTCAACTTATTGGTAGTTCTGGTTATGAAAGTGTAAGGTAACCGTTCCGAAAACTAATTCTACATTATTAGTTTTTTTTTTCCCTCTCTTATTCTCTTTATATTTTTTTTTAAATTTTCAAACCTTACTTTTAATATATATCCTTTTTTTTATTACTTAGTTATTGAGTTTCAATAACATATTTTTGCATTTAAATTTAATTGTTCTTGACTATAGCAATTATTTAAAAACGTATAGCATTTCTGTATCTGTTGGTTGACACTTCATGACAAGGTCATTTATTAATTGCTAATTTACTTGATTATTATTAATTTATTTTCTTTTCTTAAATTCAAATTACTGTTCATTGTGGTCTGCGGCCATTTGGTGAATAAATAACTGTAGCACTTGATTTCTTGACTTTTATTTGGTTTTATGCACACAGCCTGGTTTTGCTAATATTTTTATTAATTATTATTTGGATTGTAAGGACCTGAAGCCAGATACCATCCTGGAGAGTCCGACTCATCTGTTCAGAGTCGGTGGCGCCCAAAACTAAAACCCACCCCTACTCTCCGAAATATTTAGTTCTGAGCTAGGGCTTAATTTGCACGCACTTCGACCTTCAGTCTTACAATCTCAAGTTCTTCATTCAATTATTTTTATTTTTATTTTCATTATTTTTATTTTACTTTTTTTTTAATTTTTTT